GTAAATACAAATTCACTTAGAATTATTTAAGCATTAAAAAATCTAGCTTTAATCGTTAAGATTCTTCATTTCCTTGATTGTTTGTACGGTAATAAAAAGATTCTTTCTTTATTGTTTCTCATATTTTCTCAACTTCCACCAATTTTTCATAAATTTTTTCATAATTCCAATTTTTCTTATTAAACATTAACGTTTGCTAATAAAATAAATATTGTTATTCATCATTTTGCAAGTATCTTTAATAATAATAAAAGTTTTATCAAAATTGATGTGTAAATGTTGAATAGTGTTCCTTGTTGATATTCTTTTATATTTTTAAATTTTGTAAAATAATATTAGAAATATACATATATTTAAATACTACTGAATTTTGTAAAGCTTCACACAAAAATATTATTAGGCAAGACCGGCCTTGACTGACTATGGCCCTCTTCATTCATTCATATTTTATGTTAAAATTTTGTTACTAATTACAATATATTTCATTTTCTTATCAATAATTCTTTTCCAAATTTTATTAATAATTACATTTATCTTCATATATCGAAAATATAAAAGTACATCTCCTATTTTTGATATTTATTTAAAAACTAAAAAATGTTACTGAAGAAATTAAAAATCAAAAAAATTTGCTATCTAAATTTTAGTCTGAGTAATCAGTATATGATTATAAATAAAATGTCAAAGGCAAAATGCTTGTCAATAATATACAAAATATAAAAATTGGTCACGTACAATACCTTTTCGTACTACGACAAACGGAAATTTCATTTTAACTTTCTTGCAATTTTAATGTAGATTTTTCCATAAATTTGATAAATAATTTTTAGTAACATAAAAATAAGTCATAACACTTATTAAAAATAGATTTCTTTTTTTGTATATATATCTCTCAAATAGAAAAAATAAGATTATTTTTATATGGACAAGGCTGACGAGTCTTTAAGTTTGATCATCTGCTGTTTCCCTATTAACATTTGTCTATCAACATTTCTTTGTTTGATATATCATATTTAATTATTTAACACAATAATCTTTTTATATTCTCCGAATGTGTGCAGTCAATATTTTTTCTATCCTTATAGCACTTTTTAATACTCAAATTTTCTCTATTTTTAACGTTTTCTTTTATTGCTCTTCCATTACATCATTTATTGGCATGCATCATGTTTAGAATAAAAGGGTCATTATGCATGCATAAAATATCAATTGCGCTCAATAATTATTTATTTATCTGTAATATATATTGTTTTATTTCGGCAGAAAGTTTTAGGCTTATTTATTGTTTCTACTTAGAGATTTCTGTCCTTCTTAGAATGATGCAATATCACTATTTATTCACACTTCCCCATCTTGAGATTAAAAATTCAGGTTACTTCATTTTTATCACACTGAAATATTTTTTCCTACATATGAAAACGTACTTCGTGTTTGTTATTTTCTACCAGAGATGATAATATAATCTTATCTTCAAAATTTTGATTGCATAATAAATGTAAATAATAAATCCATTTTCTCGATATTTGCGAACAATTTGCTTTTATACAATTTGATAAAACATTATTGATGTATATTATTTGTATATTTTTCATGTCTTATATGCACGCTCTATTTTTATCATATTTATAAACAAAAACGAGAAAATTATTAATATGATCCATACAAGTTTCTCATTATGTAAGAATACAAGATGTTTTGTTGCGCATATAATATAATTTTGAGATAAATTTCTTATTAATAAATTTTTAATAGCGATTCTTGTATTGGCTTATACATTTTGAGTTAATTTTCTAATTTGTCATCGATTACGCATCTCTGGAACAAAACATCTTGTATTCTTACATTATATTCCTTACAACGTAAATAAAACAAGTAATACATGAAAATGTTAAAATATACAAATAATAAATTTTAAATTAAAATAATTGCTATAATAAACTATACTTTTTTTCTAAAAATACTATATATATATATTATATGTTTATTATATTATACCTTTTTTTTATAAAAAATATGAAATTGTATCACGTAATGTTTTAAAACGTGAAGTTTTATTTAAGAAAAAGACGAAATTGCATTTTGCAGCTACATGTATGCATACATATTAAAGAATAATAGTGACGTACAAGTTAAGGTAGCTAAAATCATTTAATTTTATCTTTTCTTTCATAGCTGTTTTAGCGATATAATCCATTAGATTTTTGAAAGACATTCATTATATGCTGTTAAATACGTACTAATGTATATTGTCGCTACAACGATTGTCATCTGCACATGTCTGCATGAAAAATATACATGCTTGTCAGATCTTTATAATTTGAATTATTTTTAAGTTGAGCTTCATCATATGTTACATATTTCTTTTTACAGTTATATTTTTAAAGCTAAATGTCAATAAATTTTAAATTCGTTTCTAATATATCTGTATATCGGTCTTCCAAATTTAGATAATTTTTAATAAAAATCTTAAAAATACAATACAGATAAAAACGTTAATCTCAGCTTGGTATGTACAAATATATACATGCGTTAAGTCATTTTAATTGAAATTATTTTAGTTTTTAAATAGTCAATTCCTTTTAATTACATCAATTTAGCACTTTGATTAACTTATAATTAAAATTTTAACAATAAATTTTATAAATAATTAATTTGCCAAAACAGTTACTTTAAGTGAAAAAATAAACATTATTTTAATGAAATAATTAATAAAAAACAAATTTCAAAAACAAATTCAAAATTACTTGATTCGTCACTCTTTGTCCTTTTAAGAATCTAGTATCTAATATAGTAAAAAGAAGAAAGAAATAATGTTACATTTCTTATGAACATGCTTATCGTAAACTACTTTATTTAATAAATCTTTTATGAAGAAAAATTAAAAAATTATAGAAATACACTAAAACCTCTTTGGATTCTTAATTAGTATTGTGACCATTACAATCCATTATCAAAAGAACATTTCGTTATTATTCAGATTCATAAATTTATAGTTCAAGAAACAGATATTAGACAGAGAATTATTACGTAAGACGAAATCAAATCTTAATGAAATGACAGAACCGCGTCGACGGACAAGTGTCGAAACAGGGAAATGGCAGACGACGAAGTGTCCGTAAATCGTAAATTTAACCTAATGTCATACATAGACGGGACCTTGATTGTCATTGTCATCCAAGCTGATACGACTAGGATACGCGGGACCACCGCCGTCATCAAAAAAACGCCTGAACGTAAATTCAAAGAAACCGTGAAACGGTTTCCCGTTATCCAGCAATTCGTCCGATTTGTTCGAGTCTGACGATTCAGAATTGCGCAGTTTATCAGGATCCACAGGATCAAAATTGCTCGTATCAGTTGGATATTCAATACGAGGTATATGCGGGGCCATTTGGCGCCGTAATCCCTTTTCGAAGTCGATACTCGCGAAGAATGGATGATTTTTCACCTCATTCGCGTTTTTACCTAAGCGACGATCAGCGCCAACACAAAGTTTCAAGATTAAATCCATACTTTCCGGTGAAAGATTTGCCTGTTTCGGTATATGAAGCGTTGTCTCCCAGTTAATGACCTGCATAGAAATAAAGAAAAAAAAATTTTTATAATATATAAGAACTATTCCTTTAAGAAATCCTTTATCTTTGGAAAGAAGAATAATTTTATTTAAAACTTATGCAACAGATTTTAATAATTTTATAAATTTAATACACATATTGAATTATTTTCGGTAAAAATTAATATACATAGATATATTCATTAATTTCAGTTATTCACGTTCAAACAAGATACTATAAAAAATCTGATGTGCAAAATATTTCGATTCTGGACGATCTGAAATAGAAATCCCAACAAATTTTCATTCATTTTATAAATTGTTAAAAAGCAAAGTCTTATAAGCAGAATAAAGTGAATAGAATCAATTCTAATATTTTTATTTCTTGCTCTGTTTGTTACTAAAAAGAAATTTGTCAAAGAAATTTGTTGCTCTGTAAGTTTTCTTAAAAAATAAGTTTAGCTAGAGGAAGATTAAAGCTTGATTGTTCCACCTTTCGATAAACTTTAGCTCATTTTCAGCTCACAGTCTGAAAATATTTTATTATAACGTTTTGAAAAGCTCTCGAAGTTAGCTACAAGAATATTTAATGAAAAATGGGGAGTTTTATTTAAAAATTCAACGTGACCTTGTTCTGACAACGCCACCTAACCGATAATATCATATTAATATGTATATCTCCCTTGAAGTCGAAAAACTTTTGTCTGAAACATTTTTTAAGAAAATACATATTTTTCAAAAAATTAGCCTGGAATATCGCTCTATTATACTTTATATATCTTAAATAGTTTTTTTATTATATTATTTAACAATAACATTTATTACTATTCAAGAAATGTTTTAAATAAAACTTTTACATTTAAATTACTTCTATTCATTCACATCAATATTTTTGAAAAATTATTTTAATTTAAAAAAAATTTTTATTAATATAAATATAAAAAAAATATAGGGCAGACCGGGACATCATGAGTATATGAGTGTCACAAAAATTCAAACTCTTAAAAGTACATCTAAATATAAAAATTTTTGTATCATTTTTTTTTAATAATTAAAGCATAATACATATTTTAAAATTTAATAAGTATATTTAGTAAATATTTATTAGTTTTTAAGAAAAAAATAAAAATATA